AATACGAGATAAAAAGACTAAAATAAAATATATACTATACCCTCAATCACTGTATACATTCCGCGCACGTTACAGCCCTTGACCACCAAAGTGCGAGAGGGATATTGTCGTTACATATGACGTCTGGCTCGTGTCTGTCCGATATATTCTTGTTTGCTTGATGCTCCCGATATGAAGACATAACCCTAGAAATCCTTAGATTTTTCTGAATATCCAGTATCCACACTTGGCTTTTGTTTATATTCAACTTTTCCTCTCAGGCTGAAGGACTTTTGGAGGGCAGCGCGAATCTCACTTTGTAAAAATTGAGTATTGGTTAATTTATACCGATGAGGTAGATAACTGGGGTATAATGGGACATGTACATGGCCAATGAGTACATATTATATTATTATTATTATTATTATTACAGTATATCTTAGTGCATTACTCATTGGGATGGTTATGTCTCCAGTGTGTTGATAGACGTAATTTGTCTCGTTTACCTGTGTTTTGGGATGTTGGAGTATTGTTTATACACGTCTTTAGAGTCCGCGCGCGACCACATCCGCCGTACTTTTATCGTGGGTCATTGAACTGCAGTTGGGTGATACCACGTGATTCTCCATGATGGTAACTTGCATTTGTACGTACAACTTCTGCAGCCAGGAATAACTGATCGGGCTGTGCTTTGCCTCACGTTATCAGCCTTTCCCATGGTCGATATTGACCACCTGCCAGCACAGTCCACTGACCAAGCTAATGCTGCAGATGTGACTCATAGTAGCTACGTTTTCGAGTCAGTGTATTTTAGATGTTTTTATTATAACGAGGTGCTGTACTGTGGTAACTCGCCGCTCTGTACATCCATCATCTGTGGTCTCTGTATCATGCTTACGGTTTCCCTTATCAAAGTGAGTTTTCTGATTTGCGAGATGTCTGACAAGGAAAAAAATCTGCTCAACTGAATGCTTCCTCTGGCACCCCTCCACCTTTGATATCTCTCACCTGGGAGATTTTGTTTTCTTCTTCCTTTTCTCGAACATTCGTTCTTCATCCTCGCATTTCCATTTCTTTACCATTCCATATTCCTATTTTTCCTTCTTTCTCGCCTTGCTTTCTCCTTTCTCATCTTCTTTCCCATTCTTTTCCCCTCCCTTCTGTATTCTTTCTGCTCCTCCCATGTATTCCTTCTACACTTCATTTATATTCCTTCTATCCCTTATACCCTCTTCTCTGCTATACTCTATCTATATACAGTACCTTCTCGTATTGCTCCTCCTTCCCTAAGTTCGTATTATTACCCTATCTCCACCCCTTGAGTTCCACACGTCAACTTTTATGGGTTCTTCGTCTCTCCTGCTGGCCGTTGGAGGCATCAGACGATGCAAGTAGGAGTGTAATGAAGACATTACGGACAAGGATTTATGAGGACTAAGCTGCCGTGGAACATTCTCTAGCGTGTCATTGGTTCCTCAGTTACCTCATTAGCATAGTTCTGGCAGTTTGCTGGGGCCAGCCACTGTCTGAACCATACCTGAACACACCTTCCATACCATTTCTTGTGGCCGGCCTGGTGAAGATCTACCTTCACTGCTCACCAAGGAGAATTAAATTCCCCTGGACATTAAATTTTAATTTAATATTCACATACTGTTCTTGTAAGATGTGAATAATCACGAAAGCGCATGGAAATGGGAGCTTCGAACTTTCGACAGTATATTTTAGAATAATCTTTTGGGAAGAGACTTGAAATAGACGAGAGCTGAGCTTCATCCATTATTCTTGCGAGTTTTACTTATGAAAAACACTGATTTTTTTTCAGGTGAGAATTATTGATTTTTTTCAAGATGGTGACACGTTTGTTATCCAGTTAGTACTGTATTTTATAAGAAAATACTTACTTTCCCCCAAGGTCTAATGATAGACCCTGCTGCCATATGACAGGTTGCTGATCTGTCTTTCTGCCTCATTTACATACAATTGCAGGGTCTCAATTGTTTCTCTTACATCACAACATCTGTACATTTATATATCATTCTCACTCTTGATCTTTTTCATTTTTGTATTATTTTATGGTTCTTTATTATTATTATAATTATTATCATCATCATCATCATCATCATCATCATCATCATCATCATCACCCCCATTCCCTCCCCCGATGTGGGCCAGTGACCTGTGCCCGGTTGGGCTAATCCCTGTAAAAAAAAATATATATATACAGTGGCCCCTCGGTTAACGAACTCAATCCGTTCCAGAAGGTCGTTCGTTAACCGAAACGTTCGTTAACCGAAACCATTGTTTCAATGGGTTTTTGGGTAATTGGTTCCAGCTCACCGAAAATTTCCTAACTTCAACAAAAATGGCGGAAAAATTTACTTACTTTGAGGTGTGTATGTAGAAGGCTCCTGGATGATGGTGATGATGTGCATTTGAAGTGGGAGGTGCAGGAGGAGAAGGGAGAAGAGAAGGAAGTGGAGGTGGAGGAGAAGCATTTTACTGCTTCTTGGAAGGTGAGTCACCTTCCATGAAAATGTCAGGAACCTCTGGACTGACAGATTCTCCACCATGAACATCCTCTCTCCTTCTTGAAGTGGAAGGCTGAGGGCTAGCATCTTGTTCCCTCTGCCTTTTACTGAAGAAAGTGTCAATTGTGGTCTGTGGGGCATCTGTCCTCCTCACCATTAACTTATGTTTAAAGAAGGAGACCACTGAGTCCTCAACATGACACAAAGTTAGTTCAGTTTTTTCCACTTCTGGGTGCTTTGAAGCCAGTTCCCTGAACTTCTCCCAGTGGTAAATCACATCTTTCAACTGTTTAGCTGACATATGGTCATCACTTTCAATTTCCTCCTCACCACTGTCAGCCTCTACCCGTAACATCTCATCCAGTTCCTTCAAGTCATTAGGAGTAAGTTCCTCCTCATGAGACATCACAAGCTCTTCCACATCCTTCTCCTCCACTTCAAGACCCAATGACTGACCAATGGACACAATCTCCTGGTCCAACTCTGTGTCATCCTCAAATCCCTCAAAATCATGGACTACTGATGGCCACAGTGCTTTCCATGAAGAATTGAGGGTTCTATTGGAGACTTCTTGCCATGATGACACAATCAATTTTACAGCCTCCAGGACGTTGAATTGTGTCTTCCAGAACTGTTTCAGTGTTAGTTCAGGATCAATGGAAGTTGCCTGATGACACCTCCTAAACATTTTCTTCATGTACAACTTCTTGAAGTTGCTGATCACATTCTGGTCCATTGGCTGTATGAGTGATGTAGTGTTTGGAGGCAAAAACAACACTTTCACAAAGTCAAATTTATACTCCAAATTTCTGGCAAGGTCAGGGTCATGACCAGGAGCATTATCCATGAGGAGAAGAGCCTTTAAAGGAAGTTTATTGGTGGTTAGGTAGCTCTTGACAGAGGGGCAAAACACATCAATAGCCCATTCATTAAAGAACTGTCTTGTCACCCATGCCTTACGGTTGGACTTCCAATAAACTCCAAGCATTGTTCTTACCACTTTCTGTTGCTTGAACACCCTGGGGTTTTCAGAGTGGTAGACAAGCATAGGCTTCAGTCGGAAATCCCCTGAAGCATTGGCACCAAGCAATAGAGTGAGACGGTCTTTCATGGGTTTATGCCCAGGTAAAGAGGCTTCATCCTTGGTGATGAATGTTCTTTTGGGCATCTTTTTCCAGAACAGCCCAGTTTCGTCAACATTGAACACTTGCTGTGGAAGATAATTTTCTTCTTCCATCAGTTTTTTAAATTCAATTAAAAACTTTGCTGCCCCTTCTTTATCAGCACTAGCAGCTTCACCATGCCTAACAACACTTAAAATGTCACTTCTTTTCTTAAATTTTTCGAACCAGCCTTTGCTAGCCCGAAAATCTTCAAATTCTGTTCCTGAAGAACTAGGTTGATCTGTCTTTAAATGTTCATAAATCTCCCTGGCTCTTTCACAAATGAAATCACCAGAAACTGAATCACCTTTCATCTGTTTTTCCCTAATCCAGATGATAAGTAACCTCTCAGTTTCTACGATTAGGGATCTACTTTTAAACACTCTTGTAGATTTGTCTCTCACGTTCACTTCCTTAAATTTGTCTTTTTGTGCAAGAATTGTCGACACAGTTGATGCCGACATGCCATATTCTTTGCATAGCGCATTTGATTTAATACCTTGTTCGTGTTTTTTTATTATTTCCTGCTTCATTTGGATTGAAATCACTTTTCTTGATCTCTTAGGCCCCATGCTGGATTCAAACAATGGCAACACGTATTTTTCAAAGTTAAACTAGCTGTAAATAAAGAATATTTTCTTTAAAATAACACTGCACTGCACTATATATTGTCAATATGTAAAATAATTTTCAAAATGACCAATAATTTGCTTGGAAACACAGAAAAAAAGCGTTTAGTTGAAGAGAGTCTCAAGCAAGATGTTACCTCCAGTGAAAACAGAGAGAGACTGACGCCTGTTTGCTGTGTTAAGAGGCTGGATGCCGCGCATTAAACTAGTCACTTTACCTTCAATTTTGTTCAATAATTGTTAAAATGACTAAAAAATTGAATATTAAACTTTTAAAATTATTGAATAGTATAAACTTCTTGATATTTACAAAAATAGTAAGGAATTTAAGCCCTAGAACCGATTAATGTATTGGCGGACTGATACTAAAGCTGGTTGCCCGGTCAGTGCAAGCGAAAACATGTTGAGGTCGGTTCGTAAGAAGTTCGTTAAGCGAATTTTTTTTCGTTAACCGAATTGAAGATCCTTATGGAAGGCAGTTCGTTAATCGAAATTACGTTAACCGAGGTGTTCGTTAAACGAGGGGTCACTGTATATACATATACTGTAGGCCTACATGAGTGAACAGTAATGAGAGTTTCAAATGGCGTTTCGTAACTGGTGGCTACATTATCTTAACTACTTGTCTTATCAATATATTGCATTGTAATATTTAAGATTTTATGTAACATGTTATTAATTATGTTTTAAATTTGCAGGTGACTCTGAATGGGTTGGAGGTGATGACATTCCTGGTGGAGCGCATGAAGGAAGACTTTCGACCTTACCTCTCCTCCGTCATCCCCGCCGTTACTGACAGACTAGGTGAGTACAATTGTCTCACTACCCACACCCCTCACCGTAACAACATACACTGCAAAATACAAGGAGTTCATTTTATTTGGATTACCTGAAAGAATCCACACCCCATTCTTATTTCACCTAAAGATTAACCAACCTAACCTCCCCCCAACAGTGTTAGGGTGGTTAATCTTATGCACTAAGCTGGGATGGAGATTCTTTAGGTGACCCGTTTAAAGGAGGGGAGGGGGGGGGGTTGTAAAGTGTTTCATGGTTAATTCGTGGTGTTCGACTCTCTTCCATTATTGGTGTGCGTTTTCCATTCTGATGATACATATCTCTTTAGTAGATAATTATCTACTAAAGAGATATGATTATAATCAGTGTGAAGTGACCGTGTGACATTTGGTACCAGTACTGTAGTTCTGTTTTGAGGGTAAAAGTGTTTATTGTACTGTAATTGGAGGTGCATTAGTTACGTTATGTGTACCTGTAATAAAATAAAAGAATACCGGGATATATAGTAGAAGAGAGCAGAAAAGTGTGCGTGTTTCTAATGATAATTAAAAATTTTTTGATAAATATTTGTGTAATAATACAGCATTAATTGTTATTATTATTATTATTATTATTATTATTATTATTAAAGATACAGCTTCAATAAGCTTAAAGTAGAGCACTGTACTGTACTGTACACATTGAACATCCCCCCTGTAGTATCTCTTGGAGATTAATATTGTTATGGTTTACCAGACATAAATGGACTGGTGGGTACTGTACTGTGCTTAATTCATAGTGAATTTATTTTTCACGTATATTAGGAATAAAATTTTTAACTGAATATACATTAAGGTTTATTAACATCTGTACTGATAAAGTTGGATTAAAGATATCTCTCAAGAAGCTCTGTATGACGTAGAAACAGATTACTGTACTGTACTCTTGTTGTCTTCCATGAATGAATCCTAATTATGGTTTTAATTGTTATGACTTGACAATGGTAATAACCATATAGTATTCAATTATAAGGTGCCAGTATTTTGCCCCTATGAACCATATTGCTTCTTAAAAAAATGGGGTGAAAGATATTGTTTTATTTGTCATTCATGTACTGTACAGTGTGCTTAGATGTGCTCTAGTAATGTTTCATTGTGACAGTGCATAACTCATATACAGTATCCATGATGTTACAAAGAATGATATGAGGATTGTGCTGCCTCTGATGTTGTGTTGCATATTAGAATTAAAAAAAATTACAAACTGTATAAAGCCAATAAATTTCTTTTAGGTACAGTACTGTGATTGCTCATGCTTTTTCACTTTTGCAGGCGACAGCAAAGATGCAGTTCGAGAAAAGGCACAACTACTACTCTCCGCGTTGATGGACCATGTATTGTCCCCAAATAGCATGTTTGAAAGGCTTTTACCTGCCTTTTCACACAAAAATGGCAAAGTCAGAGAGGAGGCTATGACCTGTCTTCAGAATACTTTAACCAAGTGAGTATTAGCAGATTTTTTAACTTTCACATTGTAGATCAGTGAGTTTTTCTTACCTTAGAAGCATTGCTTTGAGGCAGTGCTTTTTTTGCTTTCTTCCACTGATGGTTTGTCTTTGACCCCAAATACATTGTGTGCAACAGAGTTATTATTAATGTTATTTTACTTGAGTGAGGCAGTGTGTAAAGTTATTTTATAATAATTGAATGCATATGTACTAGCTAAAATCAGTTAAAAAAAATAAAATCCATTTGTAGAGGATTGAACATTGCATACATTGTACCAGTACACCTGTGAGCACATTTTTCTTACCAGCAGGGGGGAGGGGGGCTATGAAAATACTGTAATGTCACATTGTGCTTTTAATATACAGTACAATACTGTATAGTAATAAGTCAACCCTTTATATGCAGTACTGTACAGTACAGTATTTCATACTGGCTCATTTCCTACACTGTGCCCTTAAGTTAACCTTTTCTTTGTATCCCCACAACTGCATGCAGTTCCATGCATTCCTCCATGCAAACAACCTTCTTATTCTCATGCTATTTGATTCACTATCCACCTTACAATTGGCATCCCTCCTACTCCTCCTCCTCCTCCTCCATGCATTGACATTGAGTATGTTTGTCACCCTTTTCATATGCATTTTTTGTGTCTATCTTTTCACTTTTCCATCCTACAAATGTTCTATCATTCATATTCCCAGTTTGTAAATGCAGTATAAACATGTGTACATGTCAGTCGCAGTACAGTATATGCACACTGTAATACATCTACTTTGCCATTTGTAGTTCAGTAATGTATGTTCTCTTGATTACCACTCATTCTTATTCCTAGCCCCGTGTAGCATGTAAAACAGTGTTCAGTAATACAGTATACTCTTTCACCAAAGTAAAGATTACCACAACCAATAAGCTGTGGGTTTGCACAATAAAACCCTCAATGGAGCTGTCATTTCTCATGTGATAATGTTAACTTTCCTCCAGACAGCAGCAGCAACATTTTTTCCCATCCAAGCCATTTCTTTCTTAATGAAGTGTGGCTGGAAACAAGACCAATTGTACATATATATTTTCCCTTCATTTGTTTTTTCATCAATTCTTACTACTGTAAAAGATATGTTCTGTAATAGGTATTCACTTATACAACAAGGCACTAAATATAGTTTACCCTTGTTGCTTCAAACAAGTACACTCACATTTTCCCACAAAAATACTTGATGCTATACTCTCCATACAGTCGCACACACTGCTACTTCCTGGGTGTCCATCTCTTGTTTCTAAATCATTCTTCACCTCATCCCTCCTCATCGCTCTTGGTCTTCCCTACCCTCTTTTGCCATCTAACTCAGAATTATATACTTGTTTTACTAATCTTTATCTTTACATTCTCTCACTATATCTGTACCACCTGACCAAACCCTGATTTACTCACTGTCCAACACTTCCTTTACTTCGATATCTCCCTATTTCTGTACTGGTCTATATTTGTAAGTACTGTACAGTATTTGGATCCCATTCACTCTGCATGCTTCTCTCAGGTACCTGTACTGTACATCATTTCTGTCACCTCTAATATGCTTCTTCCTCTTGCATCCAAAGCCATGCTTCACCCTCATACATCAGCCTCCTGAATGTCTGGCACACTTTGTTTTAGAGGCTTTCTAGATTTGGGAATTTTAAGGACTATTGGGTCTCACATACAGCATGGTGCAGTACATATCATTGGTTTGCACCCATAAGTTGATAATTCACAACTGACAACACATGCTGCTACTCATCTGCTTGAATATATTTACAAAAGGTTAAAAAGGTTGAGAAGTAAGCCTCCCCCAATGGTTAGATATCATAGCTAAGGAATCATCATTTGTGACATTCTTTGGAAAGGGCTTAATATTAAGTTTTATGTGTGTGGTTACTGGAGCAGTGGGATGTGTAGATGTACTAAATCTATTTGATCAGGAAGCAGCAGGCTGTTTGTTGCAGCTTGTAGAGAACATGGATAAGATCAAAACCTTGAGAGGAGGTTGTGAGACACAGAAAGTGGATATTTCAAAGGTATTACTGGTAGGTGATACTGTACCACATTATGACTTACAGTATTATTGATAAAATCAAAATTCACATGTACAGTAAAATAAAAAGGCATTGGGAATTAGTGATCACATCAGAATGTTATTGAGGTGACTGTTACCAGGTGATAGGTAACCAGAAGTATGACAGAAAAGGGATTTAGTAGTAAAAATGGTGCTAGTATGGATAAATGTGTAACCATATACAGTTTGGTGGTGTTCTATAAGATTCTGAATGCTGATTTCATAGTCAAATATTCATCATGTTTTTGTTTTGTTTTTTACTTTATATTTTTTTCAGAGTGGTGGCTTGTATTGTTTCTTAGGTACTTCATGACTTAGGTTATTAATAATTCTTTGTGCATATCGTGTAAGCAAATTAATAATTTACTTGTATTACAAGATTTTATCATTTTTCAGTCATAGTGCAACTTCAGTGACAGTGTCGCGTCTCATCCCACACATCGTCAAACTTCTGTCAGATCCAACAGCGCTGGTGAGAGACTGTGCATTCAATACCTTGGTGGAATGTTACAAACACTATGGTGAAAGACTTAGAGCGGATTTGACGAAGAAACACAGTGTTCCACCAGCAAAGTGAGTTCCTTGTGTACATGTATTGGAATTGTTGTTGAATGTAATGTGCATCCAAAGGTAAGGGGTGTAATATAGTACTAGTGAAAAGTAGATTTAATAGTTATTGTTATATGAGTAGAGGAAATTAAGAATCATTGGTGTTAAGGCAAGATGAAAAATAAGTGAACATTGTAATTTATTCTGATGTAACAATTGTAACATGGTAATTTGAAAATTTCAATTGGAGTAAGAAAATCAAATTAGGGTCTTTGAATGGTTGGGTAATGGATTATTGTTATTGGTTTACCTTATCATTGCCTAAAGAAGTCTCTGAAAGCATCTTTAAAGTCTAGCTGTATTGTGGCATCTCCTTCCTCGAGTAACTAACTGGCTTTGTTTCTGCCCTCCGGAGAAAGGGAGGCCTTCTATACCTGCACCTGTCCCTCCCATGTATGTGGGAGTTGATGAATAGTTCCTAGACTTGTTATGTAGATCATAAGATATCAGTCAAGCCCAGTAATCCACATTTTATGCCATCACTGTCTGGTCTTAATGGCTTCTTGTACTTTGTTATTTTGTGGCAGATGACTTGTTACTTCTTTTGGCACCATTGTTAGAAAGAATTTTGGCTGTAAATAAAGTCTTCAACATCTTAAGTGACTATCCTTGGGTATGTTTGTTTGAAGGTAGTGAGAATCAATGTAGGGAAGTTAAGGGAGATGGTAGAGTGATTGAATGTTTGTGCAATAGCTGGGTAAACGCAGAATTAAAAAAATCATAAATGCAGTTTGGGAAGATTTTATTTCTTAATACATTATGTTGATAATTTGAATAAAATTGATTTATTCATTGATAATACTGTAATTTATATTTTCTTTCCCACAAAGAATGTAATTGATCTACTTACATATGTTGCATTATTTTTCATGTTCTAAGTAAATGACAGTTGTTTTTACTAAGGATTCTCATCCCTGCACAATTCTGTACACTCTTCCACTCTCTCACCTCTCTCCCCCATACTCCCTTCTCTCCATGTACAACTCTACATACTCATCCATATTATCATCCCCCTTATCTGCACACACCTTTCCTCCATTTTTCCATCTCATTTTTAGCCTCTTTTTCACCATACAGTGGTCCCTCGGTTAACGAACACAATTCGTTCCAGAAGGTTGTTCGTTAACCGAAACCATTGTTTCAATGGGATTTTGGGTAATTGGTTCTAGCTCACCGAAAATTACATACAAACTAAAAATAAATGCAGTAAAGTACACTTACTTTGAGGTGTGCATGTAGAAGGCTCCTGGTTGATGATGATGATGATGGGAATTAGAATGGGGGTGGAGGAGAAGGGAGAAGAGAGAAGAGAAGGCATTGGGGTGGAAGAGACATCACCCCATGCCGCCATTTCACCCATAAAATTTTAGTTTACTTGGTGTAATTCAAGATTATTTTCTTTAAATCAACACTGCACTACATTATATATTGTCAATATGTAAAATAAACTTCAGAATGACCAATAATTGTACAGTGACCCCTCGTTTAACGAACTCCTCGGTTAACGAAATTTCGGTTAACGAACTGCCTTCCATAAGGATCTTCAATTCGGTTAACGAAAAAAAATTCGGTTAACGAATTTCTTACTAACCGACCTAAACATGTTTTCGCTTGCACTGACCGGGCAACCAGCTTTAGTATCAGTCCACCAATACAGTAATCGGTTTTAGGGCTTAAATTCCTTACTATTTTAGTAAATATCAAGAAGTTTATACTATTCATTAATTTTAAAAGTTTAATATTAACTTTTTTCGTCATTTTAACAATTATTGAACATAATTGAAGGTAAAGAAACTAGTTTCTGGCGTGCCATCCAGCCTGTTAACACACCAGACAGGCGTTAGTCTCTCTGTTTTCAGTGTAGGTAACATCTTGCTTGAGACTCTCTTCAACTAAACGCTTTTTTTCTGTGTTTCCAAGCAAATTATTGGTCATTTTGAAATATATTTTATATATTGACAATATATAATGCAGTGCAGTGTTGATTTAAAGAAAATAATCTTGAAATACACCAAGAGAACTAAAATTTTATGGGTGAAATGGTGCCATGGGGTGACTTCTCTTCCACCCCAATGCCTTCTCTTCTTCCTTCTCCTCCACCCCCATTCTAATTCCCATCATCATCATCATCATCCAGGAGCCTTCTACATACACACCTCAAAGTAAGTGAACTTTTCTACCATTTTTGTTGAATTTAGGAAATTTTCGGTGAGCTGGAACCAATTACCCAAAAACCCATTGAAACAATGGTTTCGGTTAACGAACTTTTCGGTTAACGAACGACCTTCTGGAACGGATTGAGTTCGTTAACCGAGGGGTGACTGTACTGTAAAAATAGTTTATGTTCAAGCAAGAAGCTTCCTCCACTGAGCAGGGACACACACTGACGCCATTTTGGGTGTGTTGAGTGGCTGTTTGGCGCACTAAAAACTAGTTCCCTGCACTTCAATTATATTAAATAATTGTTAAAATGACTAACAACTTTAATATAAGACTTGGACAATTATTGAATAGTACAATCTTCTTGATATTTACTCAAATGGTAACGAATTTAAGCCCTAAAACCGATTACTGTATTGGCGGACTAATACTACAGCTGGTGAGCAGGCGAAAACATGTTGGGAAAAATTTGTAAGGAATTCGTTAACCGAAATTTTTTTGTTAACCGAAGTGAAGAATCTTATGGAAGGTAATTCGTTAACCGAGGGATCACTGTACATGCACCTGTTCATCCATCCTTACCCCTTACAAATAAATCCCATATACTATTTGATTTTTGCATGCTCCTCTGCTTTAGTTATTTCACACTATCCTGCAGGTGCATTTCATAGTACCCTTCATGTCTTTCTATTCCCAGGCAAATACACCCACCCTTTGTATTTAGATTATATATTTTCTTATTTATTCTCCATTTTAATTTTTTGGAGACGCCTCCCCTCTTTGTCCACTTACCTCATTTGTACCACTCACTTACACTTTCACATACTGTACATTCTTTCCATTATCCTTCTTATCTTGTGCCCAGACTCTTGAAACATTCCCATCTGTATATCTTTAAATAAATTTAATGAACTTAAATGCATATTAAAATTCTTAGCTAATGATGTGCACTGAAATATTCCTCATCATTATGCTGTCTTGCATTTTTTGAAGCAGATTATGGTTTAATTATTTATATTATAGCCAAACCAGAATACAGTGAACCCTCACTTTACGCGGTTAATTCAACCCACAGGGTACCGCGGAAAGTGAGAAACGCGTAAAGTGAACAACATAACATATGGGATTAATTGAAATAGAGACCGGGCCGACCCCCAAACTCCACTTTTTCAGACACAATACCTACGTTGTAGTAAAAATAGCTTCTTAATTTTATGATGGTATGCACACACAATTAATAATTAAGAGAAATATAAATAATATTAGGTTTTTTAACACTTACATTAGTAGAAAAGATGGCTGGGCACACGGGGATGGGGGGTTGGTTCCGAGGCAGAGGGCAGATTATATTGGCCCTCACCTGTATCACTTGTATCAATTGTATCACTATCCACCACAGAGGCTTATAGGGCCTCTTTGTCAAACCCCTCAAAGTCCATATAAGTCCATATCCTCTCTATAATTATCACTATCACTGACTTGGGCCGGCTGTGGTGGGTGGCGGGTGAAGAACTCGGTAATGTTTTGATGACTGGGCGACCTTGTGCGCACCCTGCTCGTGCCGCTTACACAACATGCCGGATGGCGGGAGGTTTGGATCCAAAAATGGTGCGGCTCGCCAGCCGCTCTCCGCGTAAAGGGGTACACGCACCGCGGAATGTGAGCATTCCGGTTTCGGCAGGGTACCGCGTAAACGTGGAAACGCGGAATGTGGGACCGCGTAAAGTGAGGGTTGACTGTACAGTATTTATTTTTTCGTGCGGTAACCATCACATTTTTAACCACTGGTGGCTAAATTGCCTCCTGTTTTCAAGTTATTTTAAAAACCTATATAAAGCTTTTTAGGGTTTGTAAATGTAAATGAAAAGTATGCATATTGTTGGTTTCCCATACAAAAATAATGAAAATTTTAAAGTCTCAAATATTTAACTGTTATGTTAGTGTCCTTTGCACCACTGCTGGGGGTCCTCCCATTCCTTTGGGCTATTGATTATTGATTTCATTGTCTGTCAGCACTTCTGTCTCTTGCATCTTCAGTTTAAGAGGCTGCCTTCTTCACTTCATGAATGATTTGAGTTGAGGTTTGTAAACTTCAAGGAATTTAGGATTGGGTACTGTACATGCTTCGAGGCTGATTTACTTGCACTACTTAAGGGACTCGCCAAATCGAAAATATAATAATGAGTGGATTGTACATGAAGTAGGCAGGGTCACCCCTCTTTGTTATATACTTGTGATGAATACTAAGTGTCATATTATAGTAATTTTCCTTAAGTACATTTGCTACTTATTAGGCCCCGAGTGACATAATATATAATTCTTTTTTCTTCCCTGATTAGTGAATATCATATTAAGATTTTAAATAGTTTAACTCTTTCAATCACATGTCCATTGAAGACATTGTCACAGCTTTTATATTCTTCAACCACTTCTGTATACAGTGTCTTGCTGGGAGTTAAATTAATACTAAATATGTTTGCTCTCAGACTTCCAGGACTGATGACTCGATTTGATGACGTACGGGACACTGGCCTTATGTTTCCAACTGCCATGACAGCTTCAGGAATAATAGAAGGTATGTAAACAATGCAATGGTGTTCTTAACATATGCAGTGAAGGAAAAAAAAGAACTCAAAAGGTGAGATATATAATAAGCTTCTATGAACGCCCGTATTATTAAACAACATCTTCCCTTGAAGAGGTTCGTCATGTTTCAACCCGAGTTTTAAAGTAAATGAGTCCTGAGGGACACCGCAGTACAGTACTTAACGGGGTGGTGTGGCGGTAAGTTTAACTAATTTCAGTATTATAAATTAATTTTATTGGAATTAATTCATTTTACCGCCACATCACCCCGTTAAGTACTCTACTGCGGTGTCCCTCAGGACTCATTTAGTTTAAAACTCGGGTTGAAACATGACGACCCTCTTCAAGGGAAGATGTTTAATAATATGGGTGTACATCTCTCCGTCAAATATAAAATGCTCCTGAAGAAAAAGAAAACGGTGGTGAGCGTATAAGGAAATACAAATGCAGTAATCTTGTGTTTACTGTACCAGGTAACTTCAGTTAAGACACCATTGATCTGTGTAGAGAACATGAATACGGAACTCCCTCCAATCTGAATAATCATGTGTCAGTATGAAGACTTTCTTTTTTACAGTAAAGGTTTTCCAGAAATCAGCTGAAATGTTTACTGGGTTTTTGTTATTATTGTTACAGCGTAGATTTCTAAAGAGGTTTTAACATGTTTGTGTGTTTAAAAAGGATCAAGATATTTAAATGAAATAAGTAAATTAACAAAGATGCCCCAGGCTGCTGATGTGGATGTGGCACTAATTTGTTAGAGGCAAACAAATAGAAAAGATAAGGTGAGTAATAAAGAAAAGTGAGAATGAGAAGAATTATAAGCTTATAATTATTAATATACTGTACTGTACCTATTTTTCCATCCTTGAAAGATATGAATCATCATCTAGAGAAAAATAAGGCTAAAAGGAAATTGCTTACTTGTGGTTAACTTATCCTCAGTTCATGGTCCTTAACCTGTCATGTCACCAGAGATCGTTATTATAAACCACAGTTGGGTGCTTCCACAGTCATCTCTGTAGCAGATTATAAACATGTGCAATAGTTATTGTACATGCTGTTGGAAATTAGTGAATGTTTTCTCCCTTTAATTGGAAAGTTCTCAAATTATGTATGCTTATGTTCTCCTTCGAGGATATAGGATGATCTGTGTAGAATTTTACATGAACAAAAACTTTATTGTGGTAAAGTTTTATCACTTTTAAGATTATCAAGGGAAATATAGTATGTTGATACAGTGTGTTGTTTGAAACAAAAAGGATTTTCAACTGAATGTATGAACAGTGCTGGGGATTTGTCAGGGAAATGTGGAACTCACCAATTAACACTGGCATGATTGGATAGGGGTGCAGAGTTAAATAAGGGAGATCTCTGACTGACTTCAGGGAGGAGGATAAACCTCTTCCCAAACTAGATGTATTTATGAACACATCATTAAACTATTTAGGTTGATGGGTAATTTTAACACATTTATGTGATACTTTACAATGAGGAAACATATTATGAGACTAGGAAGTGAAAGATAAGTAACAAGATTAATTAATTCAGAGGTGGGTGGTAGTTAGGAAGAGGAGAAGGCCAGGAAGGAGATAGAAAGATGTGTTGAAGGATGCTCTTGAAGTCTGAGGAATGGGCATCCAGTGCATCAGGGAATTTAGCGCATGGCATCAAGTAATTTTTGGGAATGGCTATGCGGTACTGTACTGGTAACAGGTGATGCTAACTTGTTTGCAGTGATAGGAGTGTCATGGCAGAGCACATATTTTGTACCTGTAAAATTGAATGAAGGACAATAACTAAAGGAAAAAATACTTGTGTGTATACAATATTTATTCTTATATTTTGCCACCCTGCATTCAGCTGGAAAATAGTTGAAAGGAAAGAAGAATAAAAATACAATGAAATATAGACACCACGGTTCTCGGAAAGCATTTTTTTCCGATCGACACTAAATGTCTGACTTACAGGAAAGTTCATTTTACGAAAATAAATAACCAGTGGAAAAAACGGTGTTTGTGTGCAAGTGAGTTTACAATTTTATGATGTTCAGGAGTTTTGATTGCCTGCAAAGTATTTTGAGTTTCCATAGCATTACTCTTACCTTTATTGTTTGAGTGTAATTTGAAGGTAAGCTATCTGTGTTCCTGCCTCACTTCATTATTTGTTTGTGCTCTTGACAGTCCCACCAGATTTACTTGTGTCCCACTTGTACCTATACCCTGCCTCTTCTTTTTTCCCTTGTAATTTTTTTACTCACATCATCCACTACCCCAGTGGGGACTTCAGCTTTATGTTTGTTATCATATGATAGTTCTTTAAGTCTACATATACAAAGAACAGCCTTTTCTCCCTCTTGCTGATATGAACTCAAGCTGCATTTTATATTGTTCACTCTCTCCTTTATCACTTTCTTGACCACTCTTTCAACTTTGTTTATAACCTTATGTAACAGCTGTAGACTAATGTAGTTTCCACAGTCAGTTGTATTACCTTTTCCCTTGTCAGTATATGCAGTCATGTTCATTTAGTCAGCTGGAACAAATTATTTCATTATAATTGCATTAGTCAATTTGGTCACCATCAGCCAGCATCATCTGATACTTTCACAATTTCTGCAACTATTCCAGAGCTGCCAGCAGCCATTCCATTTTCTTCCTCTTGTCAATCACTTTCTTAACTCATTGATTCTCTTCCAATCCTTGGACATGGTCAATGTACCGTCTGCTACATCTAGGCTGTTCCTATTCCATTCTAACTCCTCATTCAGTAGGTGACCTTAGTATTTCCTTCAGGCATCCTTATTTTCCTCATTACCACAGTAATTTTTTATGCACTATTCACCCACCATTTGCCTTGCTATTCTGCATACCTCACCTCTAGCATCTGTACTATGCAACTTTTCTGTAAAAGCATCCTGTTCCTTGTTTCTAAGCCTTGTAAACCTCTCTTCTGGCCTTGTGCTTGGCCTTCAGTTATTTTTCCTTCTCACCATCCTTCCAGGCTTTATACAATCTCATTTTTTCCTTTATCATTCTGTGTGCTTTATCATTCCACCACTGTGTTACTGTATGCCCAGCTGGACCCTTTATCCAGCCACACACTTACCAACCACACTTAACCGAACATCTTTAATGTTTCTGTTCCTTGAAGACAGAAAAGTAGTCTCTTTAAGAAAGTGGGGATGCTCTGGCCAAATCTGCACATGAGTATGCAACACTGTACAAGCTAGAGTCTTCCCTACCATTTATATTAATTATGAATTTAGATATACAGTAGTAATTGGTGAAGGTTAGCAAAGGACACACTGTGTAGATTTCAAGAAGTAGACAGATCTGAAGGGAAAACCTTATGAACTAAAAGCAGTTATGGTCCCAATCATTCTGTATTAGCCACTGTCTTATTAGGCAGAAGTATTTTTATAAATGTGGGTTAATTACATTAGACTTGTATAACTATCACCCCCTGTAACTTTCCACAAGCTATGAAGTTCATGTTCAGAGCACATGATAAGGTGTGCCGACGGGAAGTCGTGTCATTTGGTGCTGAGCTAAGGATTAAGTAACCGGCTCTCTGGCCTCCTATTGCGGGCAGTAGTTTGATAACCCTGACGAAAGGAAGATGTTATTTAGAGCCATCGTTGAGGTGCTCCGTCTTTCTTTCGAGGGAGGATGTCGGATATATTCCGTTCTCCCTCAAGAGTACTCCCACTCTCACATCAATCAGACTTATTTTAAAAGAGCTACTTTATGATAGCCTCCATCCTCATTTAACACTCATAGCTACAGTGATTAAGTTACGGTGATAATCCTTTTTGAAAGTATACATAGGACCCTTTTATAATAAATACACAAAAGGAACCTATTGGATTTCGTTACTGAAGACCCAATAAACTTTGATCTATATTTTAGTTCGTCTAGAATATAAGGTAACATGCTTCACAAGTGATTGTTACAAGTGGTGACAACCCAGGAAGGTTGTTACATATATGACCGCTTCACAGGTAGTTTTTATACACGTAATAGTCACCCCAACAGATACACACTTGGTAAAGGTAAGAGATATTATATTCTCGCCTTTACTGTGTTACATTGTTACTAAGAAGCTATAGTTACAACTCGTACGAGTAAAGCGATTAAGATTTTTGGGACAGGTACAGACAGAGCTTGATGAAAATAAAATCCCATACACTTTGATTTCAGTGATTTTGACTGTTTTATTTTGTTTTGAAAGGCACAGAAATAACCCAGCTAATCTACACTAACATAGAATATGGTCATAAAATGATGGTACACCCTGTAATGACTAATGATGATGATAATGGATAAGAGACTTAATTGTAGTACAGTAATTAAATGGTTCTCTGAGCATAATGGCTTTTACACTCGTTCTTGTAAATAATTCTCTTGGTGTCCACTCGTCACAAAAAGTTCTACAACAACTGGGCACGACAGATTTCCCCCTGTATAAGAGCTAGCCAGAGAATTTAATTTTTAAGTAGGAGCTAGTACAGTTTCAAAGGTATGGGAAGAAGAAGTAATTTTGGCTCCAAAAGTGAAGGACAGGGACATATCTTTGATTTTTCATTCACGATCCTCCTGGTATGGGTGAGCTGATCCAGCACCACCTTTGACATCATTGAAGCAAGCTGTTTCCCCACCTCTTAAAGGTATCTGTTCATGGAAGAGATACAAGCAATGCTGGGACCATGGGCCACTTCCTCATTACTATTCACATGATCATTGGTCAATTTATTGGTCATCTTGTTGCATGTACAGGTGTACTGTATTAGTGACATTGTAGCTATGATCATTAACTCTTTAGGTGCGTAATTAAATTTCGCGCCGGTTCCTGAAAAGTGTCAATTATCCTGCCAAAAATGAATTTCATATAATCACATTTTCTATATGTTTTTCCTAGAGAACTTTTAGTATATTTTCCAAATCTGGAACAAAAATTCACATATGTGTGCAAATTTTAGAGAAAAAATGACATTTATACCCAAAAATGCAGG